AGGAGATTGACTCTCCCACACCTCCGCTTCCAGATCGATGGAGAAACATTGGCACTCCCACACCTCCGCTAAGCAGCTGTTTCTTCACCGATCTGGAAGAGGAGGTGTGGGAGAGTCGACCTCCTCCTCCGGAGAATCGAGGTCCATGCTCGCATCACTACAGCAGCTGTTGCTTTACACCTCCGCTCCATGATCCCATCTGATGAGCGTTCGTGAAAAGCAACAGCTGCGGAGAGCGCGAGAGTGGAGTAGGTGTTTTAACTCCAGCCCTCGTCTGCCCGATCGCCAATTGGCAAATACCTCTCCCCCCCTACCTCCTCCTCCTCCTCCTCCTCTTCGGCCCTTACAAATCTGAAAAGAAGGCGCATTGAAGGAAAAATGATCCAGTCAGTGGTCCCCACCCGCTCCAGTTGATTGATCACTACTACTACTACTACTACTACTTTTTTTTTTTTTTTTTTTTTTTTTGACTACTACTACTATTATTTTTTATTTTTATTTTTGAGTACTACTAAAAATGGTCCAGTGCAGTGCTCCCCACCCGCTCGAGTTGATTGACCACCACCACTACTACTGCTACTGCTACTACTACTACTACTACTACTGCTGCTACTACTACTACTACTACTACTGCTGCTACGACTACTACTACTACTGCTACTAGTTTTTTTTACTATGAAATCAGACTAGTCTCAACTCGATTCCAACGTGCATGCAAACGGATGACAAACACGATCTGACGCAGTGCGGCCACACAAAGCTCAGAGATAAGAATGTGGCCAGGAACACAGTTCAGATTCCACTTGTCTTGAATGGCTATGGCGCCCAGCGCCTGAGAAAGATTCCCTCCCAATCAAATGCATCCACCAGCAACTTGTTCACATGTCCAGGCACACACTCCAACACTAGCTAGGATCACCCTGAATGTCCCTCACACACACACACATGGTACACGTATCCTACTCTATACTACGTGGCAGCTATGCCTGCCGTCTCCCTCCTATGCCCACTAGCGACTATGGCC